AAGAGTCACTGCGTGAAACAATTGGCGCCGCTAACTAGCTCTGTGGCCACTTTTACGGGAATGAAACAAGACAGGGTAGGGCGTGGGTCGACGCGATACAACAGGCGGCCAGCGGGACCAGCGGCGACGGCAGTGTAGAACAATCGGGGCAGCTCAGTGTTTCCACGGCCAACGATCTCGTAGTGAAGCAAACAATGGCGATACATAGGCAGAAGTAGCACCACGGGCGGTCAATGGAGAACAGGGCTACCGCGACACAAGTGACAGTGAGTTGTGACCCATACGCAGCGGCTCAGCCGGTAGTGGCAGGCTATACACACGGAAAAGAGCGGTTCATAACAAGAGCCATGATCCGGAAGATTTAACAGTCTTTAAAGATGGGTAGATGACACATGTGCTCGAGACATCAGACGTCTACTGAAGCTTTTGTGGTGAACGCTCTTCTTTTACCACCTAATCCGCATGTCTCACCGCCATCCTGACAAATCCTTCTTATAGCTTAAAAGCTAAGTATTGCGTTTTCGTTGGCAGGTAGACAGAAGCAACAACAGTTTTCCTCAGAAAACTGCCAGATCCTTTAGTTACACTTGCACTGCTGAGAAAAAATCCGATCACACGCGGAAAGAGCCTATAGGTAGACAGGCGCTGAAGAAATTCCGGCCGTGATCTCTTTGATCGCACTTGTTGGTCATACATATCGTGGGAATTTATACATATTGGTCGATTTTTGTTACGTGAACGGCAATGGTGTAGAAGCACGGACTAACGCAAAGGGAAAATGGAAGCACACACGGTACAGCAGGTCAGGCTGTTCGTGGGGTGCACATGGTGAATCCTGCGGCCAATCAGCGTGTGCTGCGGCATCGTGCAGCCCAATGAACACCCGGTCGAACATTCGAGGTTTTCTCTCGAGATGATTCTCGGGCCAGAACGTTCCAGAACGGTTTTCTGGTTAGTACGCAATAGGTCGGAATGTTCCAGGATGCTCAAGGCTGCCAATAAGTAAGATACGCTTTTTGATAAGAAACGCCGGTTGTTCACTGGCGAAAAATAAAGTGTTTGGCTCCCGATTTCGCTTTCCTTTGCTTTCCAACGGGCTATAACCTTTTCAGTACTATGTACTTAACAAATGAAATTTTGTTTGAGCAGGCCAGTATATAGCTAAGAAACAACTGTTGTCTAAGCCTTGAGTGATTTATTATTCACTTGGAATGTGGCTACCGATGTTTAACTCCTAACAGTAAAAGAGTAGAGATAGGTAGCCTTGAGGCGATAAGCACATTTTGTATGCGCACTGCACACTAACAAATTACTTTTGCCTAAAGATCAGATCCGTCCTATTGTCGATTAGCCGAAAGTAGAGGTAACGTTCATGGAAAAATGGGTAATCATTGAAGACCAAGATTACACTGCTCCATCACTTCCTCTACACGAGACCATTTCAATATTTGCTATAAAAATACTTCTGGTCACCCTTTATCTCTGTATCCCTTAAAATACATCCAAAAATAAAACCAGTGTATCGTGTCTGTCGCGCAAGAAGAGAATAAGCGATTAGCGTAAAAAATGGATCGATGTGCGCCCATTTCTGTTTAAATAAATACCCGATCTGAAGCTACTGAGAAGGGCAGATGGCGAGGCAGTGATGAAATTCGGCTCGATTGGGTGCTTATGACCCACCTGCTTGACCCACTGTGTTAGCTGTGCGCACCATTATCGAGCGAATGTTTGTGTTTTCCATACCTGCTGGTGGTCAGAGTTTATTGGCTGAATGAAAGCAGAATTAGCCCGAAACAGACTATATCAATCTACCCGAATTTTCTATCGTCCCTCCTTTCTGCAAAGAGATGTTTTAGTTTTCCATTTTGGGGCCGAACAAGAAACCGGAAACTGAGAGGATTTGCAAGAATTATGGCTGGAATTCTCAGTAGGTTTTGACCCGATAAAATTGTATCATCAGCTGATTTAGAGCTTTTTTGTACAGATTTCAGTGCTTACTTCAAAATCAAGTCAGAACTGACCTTGCGGAGGGGCTGCCTTGACGATAGTTATGGTGGTGGTGATTCGTCTGCCCCTTGGCCTGATACCTGCTTGTGCTCGAGTCGACCGTCTCCGGTTTAGCCGGGCAGATACGCTCTAAGGCCATCATGCAATCAGTCTGCAGGCACCCGCACGCCAATAATTCATTAATTTTATCTTTGCAGAGGAACAAAAAATGAAATTTAAAAGGTTCCAGTCGGCTTGAATTAAGGAATGTAATAGCATTTTGCCAAAAAAACAGAAGAAACTAGCAAAATGGAATAGATATTTAGAAAGCCGACAGTGTGTGCCGTGGTGGTGACTGGTACAGGGCCTAGGAGCTCAAAAATATTCCCACCAGCATGTGGTCAGATGTCCAGCGCTCTAACGATTGCTAATTCCACTAGACACTTCGCGGCTGCTGGCTGGACTCGAGAGTGAGCTCCTAGACAGAACGTATTCTGCAACATCGGAGGCTTCAATCCACGAACTGGTACTTAGAAGTCCGTCACAATAACCTCTGAACACAGGGTTCGTTGTGCTGTCAGCTGCAATAGGG